ACTGGGACATAAGTTTATGGATTCTTGTTTTCCCAGCCTCAATCTATTTAATGGCGGTGGAAATTAAATGCACGAGGGTCCCTATTGCGTAAGCTTGGTTTTGTTTATTTTAGTGATGTGTGCGTCTCTATTACAAGTTTACCCAAATTATTTGAAACTATGAACTATGAAATTGAAACTGGACTATGTAAGGTAGTTGATGATGATGATTTAAGTTTTTTTATAGTATAAGGTAGGTAAGTGACTACCGCAGTCTATGAACACCTGCACCTCGAAAGTCATAAACACGTCGCCACCCAGAAACGTTGGACGCGATAAGGCTCCGATAATTCTTCACTCAGTCGGTGAAAAGTACCAAAAGAGGTGCTGAATATCGGTTTTCTGTGAGGCCTGTTTGTGCCGAAGCATGACTCTCGAACGATTGACTGCCTCGGTGATGTAGTGGTAGCGTATGCGACTTCTGTGCTGTGGTCTCAGATTCAATTCCCGGGTCGGATCAAATGTTTGTATTATCAGCAAATATTTGTTTCGGAGTTTGGGTTTTTTCTACGTATAATATGTATATATTTACAAAAAATTAAGTAGTATCTAAGTTTTTATCAGTCAATCCAGCTTTTATAATACAAGCTCTGCTTAGTTTGAAAAGATGGCGTTGTGTTAGATGTCCAAAAAAATAAATAGATTGAGGAGTGCGGTTTAGGAGTGCGATTAAATTGAAAGAAGTGTTTGAAATAAATCATAACATGCGTAGAAGTTATTTTTTGCATAGATTATAATTGGTTCGAGTTGGTAATTCCATTAAATTAAGTTCCATTCCATTAAGTTTTATAATTTACTTTATTTACGAAGGTCCTCAAGGCAGTTCGTGGGATCCTACGTTCTTAATCGTCAACAAATGTGCTATACTGCATCGATAGTTACTTGAGAGTTGGTTGGCAAATGTCTTCTGCATGTGTTCACTGATTCTAAAATTAAGCTGAAATTAAATAATCTGGAAAATTGATAAGCAGATAGTTCAATCTAGTCTTTTTCCACTAGAACCAAAATGGAACCTTTAAATTAGACTTCTTTCATGCATTTTTCTTAACTCAACTCACTGCAGTTTGATTAAATATACAGAGAATATTTATTATTTCTTTTTCACCATAAAGTGGACTGCATGGATGGCGTAGTGGTTTAAACAGTCGCCAAGCCTCTTACTACTACGCTGAGTGTTGTGGGTCCGATCATAACATGGGGCGAAACTTTGTGTGATCCACAAATTGTTGTTCTGAGTCTCTGTGTGGTGTAACTAACCCATCTTTGTTTTATTTATTAAGATTATAAAAAGTTAAAGTTATAAAACAAACATTTTAAAAAATCGTTGTCGATTGACTTAGAGAATACCTCGCAATGTTTTCCGTTCCGCGGCACTAAATCGGGCCGCACGCTTAATACATCGGCTAAAATAATATTCGCACTACAAACGTATTTTAATATTCCCTAACATTTTGGTGCTGGCGTTTTCTTTTTTCTGGTATACCGTGAGTTTCCATTTCGTTAAATTTCGTTTTAATTTCACTTGATGTTTTTGGTATACATAACTATTTAAAAAATTTATATCATTACGATTTCTGGGGCTGCCAACAGCAATAGAAAAAAACAGACTAATTAGGATTATTTACTTCTAACACTTCTAGAATATTGGCAGGAGGGGTCAGGGTATGTAACTGATTTTAATCTTAATTATTTTTAAAGTCGTATTCTTTTTCGTAAAGTAAACTTTTTTTTTAATTTAAAGGTTCCTGCATTTAAATTGCACGAGTCGGACTGAATGTCACATGGCGTTATCTATCAGTGGATAACTATAATGAGGGGTGTAAGAATAGGAGTCACCGTAACAGAGAGTTAAAAGTCGTTTGGCATTTAAGGTTGCCCAAGACCAACAATAGTATTACGTTTACAAAGTTATTAACTTTTGTTTTAAATGGCAATAGCTAATAGCTTTTTCTCGCAACTCTGCCCGCGTGTCTGTCCCCAGTTATCTGTTCAGCGGTTTAGCCTTGAAAACGTAATAGACAGACAAAGTTACTTTCGCATATATAATATTAATAGGGATTATTATTGAATTTAACAAACGTAACAATAATAAGTAGTAATAAATCGTTTCTTTCGACTAATCTTGGTAAGAGAGAGAAAGAAATTGTAATTTTAACCACTCTGTTAGATAAAAGATAACAATTAAAGGTAAGATAAAAGTTGAGAAATCAGAGAGGCGAACAGTTTCGTTGAGTCTGGATTTTTGAGAAGTGGTGCATATGGCTCAGAGCGATGTCTTATGAATAGCCTTCATTTCCAACGGATGTCTGCCTCTTTCACCAGATTATTAACCGAGACGACTCCGGCTTTATTGACCAGTTGCCACGCGCCGCTCAAGATTACATTCAATTTCATTCCAATTCTCAAACAAGAGAAGCACCTACGCTCTGCAGAAGACTGTAATTATTCAACTCATAATAATATATAACATTTATGTTGCAAAGTTCATGTCATCACATTAGCCTTCTTGCGGTTTTAATTACATAAAAAAATGATCGCACTGCGTAAATGTTTACTTAAAATATATCCTAATAATAATATTCTTTGTCATAACCACACACTAAACCAAGGATTCCCCTGTACCCGCCGAGCGATATGTGTGACCCTATTTGACCTTAGCAATAAATTAGGTGACACTAAGATCGTTTCACTTTTAAAACAAAGAATAATTACTTGCGTGTAATAAAATTGACTCGCCCTATACGTTTAGATTTGGAACACGATTAATCGTTATTGGAAGGGAAAACCCGTCGAGTCCACCCGCGCGTACACTCAGGGACTGTTTCTACGAGATGACGTCTTTGCAGAAGGCTGTAACCGTGGTAACACATCTGTCACTACTGGCCATGGGGTGTAGCGTAAGTGGTAGCGTGTATGTGTAGTGTAACGGCTGGTAGCGAGAGATCCTCTGCAATGACTGCACTGAAGATCTATGCCGGGCAAATTTCCAGTGTGTGGTGAGTCGAATTCTCACTGCAATCGCAGTTATGGCAGTCGGCACTCAATTCACTTACTCATAGCGACCGAGTACATGCACTTCCCGAAGAGGCAGTTCCCGAAAAGGACCTGCATCAGTCGGAAGTAAAGAGTCCCATGGTGTCGCGATGCCCACTCGATCATGACTGGCTGGAGTACCTCCACCCGGCTGGAGCCTACAGCCAAAGAACGAGCCACCGTGGCTCGGCTAGAGGCCTAACACTACTCGCGTACCTCGTCAGGCGGAACTCAGGCGTCCGGCGATAAACTTTTGCAATCACTTCCACCTCCAAATCCCACGGGGATGTTCCGGCTGACGCGCATGCTATCTCCTTCGAAACGGTGTGGTAGCCGCGTTTGTCTCTAACCGCCAATAACCTCAGGCTTGGTGTCTCAAAGAATTTCAATGGTCTGCACCATTGAAATTCTTTCTGAGCCTGATCACATGTTGAAGCTTCCATCTAGCATTTTAAAGCCACGACTCCGACACAAAAACTCAACCCAGCCTGAACTACCCAGAGGTTATTGGCGTTTAGAGACTTTCTTAAGAAGAAGTCGCGTTACAACTTTTTTTTTTGTTGTTTTATTTGTGATAACTATATGTTCTAAGTACTATTGAATTTATATATTTTTTATCAATAAGTCAGACAAGCATCCGGTTAAAATATTGGGACAACCGCGGTTATTATTATTAACACATTAGGATAACCATACCAGAATTTTTCCTCATAATGTAATGTTTATGTTTGTTTTCAAGTTTGTGCTGACCGCAAAAAAATGTAAAGCAACTGAACGTTGTTCGTAAGTGAAATCATCAATGCTAAATACCTATCGGTTATGGCATAGTAAGTTTATTTATTGGAACGAATCCTTCCTTATCCTTATCGTGCGTTACACTCTCTGAGCGGATGGGAGCGAGACCGAAAAATGACCAACAAGACTTTTTGTGAAGATCGTAGCAAGCCGTTGGATGCGGGCAGAACAAGGCTAATTGTTTTGGCGAATCTTGGAAGACGAATATGTCCAGCAGTTGAGGTCTTTCGGCTAAGATGATGATTTTTTTGATACCTAGTCTTCCAACAAATAAAAACATGCGGACAACTGACACACAACGCCATCTAGTTTCAAACAAAGCAGAGCTTGCACAATGAAAATTAGATTGACTAAAGGAATACTTATATCCTTTTTTTGTAAATACATACAATACATACATGTAAATATGAAAATAATAAAGAAAGCACCCAAACTCAGAAACAAATAATTACAGGTCATACAAACTTTTTTTTTTCTAGTGTTTAAAAGACAACTCCCGCATTAGGAATAAATCCTGTGTCGCGGGGGACTTTACAAACATACATGAAACGGACACAAAGAACACCCAGACTCAGAACAACAATTTGTGGATCACACAAAGTGTCGTCCCATGTGGGGTTTGAACCCACAACACTCGGCGTAGTAGGAAGCGGCGTGGCGACCGCTTAAACCACTACGCCATCCGTGCAGTCCATTTCACACCGCAGGAATCGAACCTGAGACAACACAGCAGTCGCATTCGCTGCGACTGTACCTTCGAGGCAGTTAATAAATCACAATCTCAGAACACATGAGAATCTACCCCGAAAACCTAGTTCAGTAGTACGCTATTAAAATCAAAGACACAATTTGTTTAGTTAATAAAACACCTTTACAGTACATAAATACACAACATAAGTAATACATATGGGTTGTTAAAGAAATAAAAAACAATCACTAAAAGTAAATAATTTATCATTTGACCTCTGATCTAAACCACAACTCCAATAATAGCTCGCTGCAATCTTACTAAAAACAATAAAGTCCCCGGTTGGGGAAGTACTGAACGAGTTATCTCAAATGTGCGTTTTATATATAAAGACCAAATAACTCTACGATTATTATTCAAGTAGCGCATCTACAAGAAGACAGAAATGTATTCTGCACTCCTGTCAATCCTCTTTATTGCCACTGCATCTGCGGTAAGCTTGAACGAAGAATCCAGATATGGCCTCAATGGGTACTATGACTCCGAAGACATTTTTGATCCTGAATTTCCAGCAGCCTGGACTCTGGACCACCATAGGGCACGACGCCAACTTGGCAGTGTCTTCTTCAATTCCGACAGCACTTCCGGAGCTAATATGAAACTTCCATTGGCCGGTAATAATAAAAATATGCTAAGTGCTCTTGGATCCGTTGGTTTTGACGCTAATAAACATCTTTCATCGGCTTCTGGGGGTTTGGCTCTCGACAATGTGTAAGTAAACTCTAATTAATTATTAGGGTTTTCTACTGTAATCCTCATTATATGTTACCTTATATTTCAACATTCTTTACTTGTTTATTTTACTTACAGGCGTGGACATGGTCTGTCTCTAACTGGGACGCATATTCCTAATTTTGGCAATCAACTGACCGGAGCTGGACGTCTGAACCTCTTCCATAATCAAAACCACGATCTGAATGCAAATGCTTTCTTAACCAGGAATATGCCCACTATCCCACAAGTCCCTAATTTCAATACAGTTGGTGGAAGCCTCGACTATATGTTCAAGTGAGTAATTCTATTGAATTTTTATTTATTACAATTAGATAAGATAATTACCTAGAAAAGGTTTACCAATTACCTAGAAAGGGTTTTAAACACGACGCATACTTTTAAACAAGAAGCAATCACAGTAGCTGCAGTTAGACTACATGGATGGTATAGTGGTTTAAGCGGTCACCTCGCTGTTTCCTACCGCGCCGAGTGTTGAGGGTTCGCTCCCCACATTACATAACACTTTGTGTGATACGCATATTGTTGTTCTGAGTCTAGGTGTTCTTTGTGTTCGTTTCATGTATGTCTGTAAAGTCCCCCGCGACACAGAAAATATTTCTAGTGCGGGAGTCGTCTTTTATAGAAATTATATTTATTTATTATATTTAATGCGTAGGAAAACGCTGCAAAGCGACTACCTCCTTGGGCGAATGTTTGTTTTTATTTCAAAATGTATAGATTCAATTTTTCACTTAAGGTTTAGACTATAAGCCTTCATTGTTTTAAACAAAGTTGTAAATAGGTGCTCAAAGCTCAAAAGCATGTTCAAATTTTATGATATTCCTAATTTCTTGTATTGTTTCTAATGCCATATATGTTTTCAGGAACAAAGTAGGAGCATCACTGGGAGCCTCCCGCACACCATTTCTCCAGCGCACTGATTACTCTGCCAGCGGTAATCTGAACCTCTTTAGAAACCCAAGCACTTCCTTAGATTTCAACGCAGGCGTCAGCAAGTCGGTATCTCCATTCATGAAAAGTTCATGGCAACCTAACGTCGGCTTAAGGCTCAGCAAATACTTCTAAGAAATCATTTAAGATTTCAGCCTTTCACTGCCCTTTTTTCAAACAACTTGTAAAACCAATCGTATCGTTTAAAATGTCGAAACTAAATAGTTTGTACATTTCATTAGTATTATTAACTGTATTGTACTGCATTTATTACATGTACGGCTTAATTTCTTCATAGGTATTTTGTAAAATATAAAAATTATAACAAATAACATACAAACCTTTTATTTCATATCTAAAATGACAATCATGTCAATAAATGAATAGTTTATATTGTATATATGACGGACGACGGACCTATTGGTCTAGTGTGAAGCGATTCTGACTGATTTGTTTATGTATAACACAAAGAATTGTGTGATGAGCACAATAATTTGTTCTTTGGGTGTTATCTATACTAATATTATAAAGCTGAAGAGTTTGTTTGTTTGTTTGAACGCGCTAATCGCAGGAACTACTGGTCCGATTTGAAAAATTCTTTCAGTGTTAGATAGCTCATTTATCGAGGAAGGCTCATATATATCATCACGCTAAGACCAATAGGAGCGGAGCACCAATGAAGAATGTTTCAAAAACGGAGAAAATTTATTACTATTGAGAGATGCAGACGAAGTTGCGTGGGCCAGCTAGTTTATAATATTATTCTACCACATTCACGCAACGCCATCTAGTCCCAAACTTTAATTAATGAAAACATACTTATTATGTTCATGCACACAAATATTTCACTTGAGCTGGAATCGACCCCGCGACCTGTAGTCCATTGCACAAACCACTAAGCCATCTGGCCGCCATCTACAATATGTATGTATTTAAAAATATATAAATACGTTTATCAGCAGTCTGGTTACCATAGAACACGCTCTGCCTGATTTAGGATCAGACGGCCGTGTGTGAGATGTGTTCAGTTATTATTATTTTTATTATATACAACATAACTCCGGCCGATAAGACTTCAAGTTAATAGAGTCCCTGCCCCCTTTCTCACACCAGACTGCACGGATGGCGTAGTGGTTTAAAAAGTCACTTCGCCGCTTCCTACTGCGCTGAGTGTTGTGGGTCCGATCCCCACGTGGTACAACACTTTGTGTGTTTCACACTGTTGTTCTGAGTCTGGGTGTTCTTTGTGTCCGTTTAATGTATGTTTGTATTATCCCCCGCGACACAGGATATATTCCTAGTGCAGGAGTTGTCTTTTTAAAAACATAAAACAAACAATACCTTTTAACCTACATCCGTCTACCGATTCATTTTGTTTATCCTAATTCATCTTCTTCCTTTCTCTGAAAATGATTTCACATCCTCTAGGCGGATTAGCGTCCAGCAGTTGTACGGTCATAAAAGAAACCAGCCCAAACCCAAACAAATAAGGTGTTTTTTTTAACAAAAATCCAGAAATACAACATAAAAGAGAGAAAAAATATTGACCAAACCAAAGAATAAAACAATTACGACGCAATAAAAAAAAATTGTTTGTGTGACTAAACGGTCACAGCTCAGCCTATGCTATGGCCCCTAAAGTGAACATAGCGATGATGTCAGGTGAAACCTAAAAATACCTCAATGGACGCTAATTTTTAGCTGAAGTCCAAAAATGCCTTGTCTTACTAGTTCCAAATATACAACTGCCACACACAGCTCTGCAACACCCAAAGGTTTGATTGAAAGAAAATACCTGTGGCATTAAGTCCGCCTTAGCCAATAGGAACTTTTAATAAATAAATAAAACCCTTTACAATATTTTACATTATGCCGTCTCAAAATAGAGTTGGGGGATTCAAAATTAAGCATCGAAGTTCACTTGGCAAGCGGTGGTTCGACATCTTAGCTATGTGTAATATAAATCATATAATTTTTGATTAAATGCATTATATTAATTCAATAAATTAAAAGTAATGTCATAGAAAGTAAAGCAAAAATTAATTATTTTACCTTAATATTTTCCTAAGTGAGTACTTCACATAAACAAAGCCAACCTAACAAATCTTCCTTTAATATTTATTCTCCAAATTTTTGTTTTCACAATACGATAGAGTGAATAAACCTTTTATTTAAAGGATTCCAGCACTCAATGAGCCGCAAATTACAATGGCGACAGATGTGGCACCTCACAGATAACAAAAGACAACTAGAAGTGTCATCTTAGCGGGTACAATTTGAGGTAAATAAGCATACACAATTTGTTTATTCAAAGAGACTAACCTTTCGTGTAGTGACGGATTAAGAATACGAAGAGTCACCACCCTTATTCATCCAAACTACGCAGGACAACAGCACTGTAAAGACAAGGAAAACTTGACACAAACCCTAAACCAACCGTCTCGCCAGCGTTGTATAGTAGGCCAATAATTCCTTCCTAAGGAGAGACCTATGTCCAGCAGTGGACTGCTAAAGGATGTCGATGTGATGATGAGACTAACACGCTCAAGAACTGAGATACTACAATCACACTACTTCGGTTTAAATCTAAAACCATTACTTTATATTAATAATAACTTTACACATCTCTCTCAAATCAGGTTTATTTAATCCTATTCGAGATGGAAGTATTGGCAGCCACCCGTAACATTTTCGTGATTGTTTCTAACTTTTTTTTTTAAATCGCCCAATAGCATGTCGGGCCTCGCACGAGTTCTTTTTAAACAAATAATTTATCTAGTAAGTAATTTACTAGTAAGGGTCTTAGTCCGATGTTTTCCGAGTAAGTAGTAGTAACAAAATTAAATGAGTCGTGATAATTTACCTTCTTAATCCGAAATATGTATACAAACTATACTGTTTCACTAAATTGAAAAATAGCTTTTACATATCCTCAACGTTTTTTCTCGTGCCTAGGAATATATCCTGTGTCGCGGGGAACGTTACAGATATTTATGAAACGGACTCAAAGAACACCCAGACTCAGAATAACAATTTGTTAATCACACAAAGTATTAGTATGCCATCCGAGCAATCATTTTGTAAAAGACCTATCCACCAATCCCCTTCACTAAACCACTAAATCCTCGTCATTTAACGTCTTAAATAAATACATTTGAACTCATGATAACAGTCATTATAAATGACTAGCAAAGGTAACAATGATTCATCAAATAATAATCAGGTCTGCCAAACTAACATTTAACAGCCCCGATCACGTTGATCAATTAAGAATAAACTCTTGTATCAAGATCAAAACCATTTCTAGTTAAAACTAAATCTTCAAAAATAAAGCAATGTTTCAGAACATTATCAGACGATCTCGGTCTCGGCAAATTATTGTGGAAATATCTCCAGTGTGATGTGCAGGCACGAACAGTTTATATAAACAAAAGAGAACATTGTAAAATTAACATTTTCGTTTTAAATTTGTTGATCGCTCCATATTGACGAAATATTTCCCTCGACATCTTTATACCTTCTTATGGTATAGGTAAATAGGGGGGCAAATGAGCAGATGGGTCACCTGATGGTAAGTGACTACCGTTGACCTTGGATACTTCTCCTCCCTAGAATTAGGTGAGGGATTATAGGTACAGTTACCTCAGTTACTCGGTGAAAGCAATGAAAGAATTACTTAAACACCGGTTTTCTGTGAGGCTGTGTTATCAGTCCAGTCTGCTCCTTAGCTTCACCACGGTAATATACGAGTATAATTATGTTCTCTTAAATATCAAGGGTTATGGTTTTTAATTATGTTTCTGTTTACTAGATTTTATTTATCAAGTAAACTGTTCTTTAAATTCAGAAGCACGAACAGCTTTACTCGTTCAAAAATACTAAAATAGGTATATATTTACAAAACATCTTTATTTGTTTACTTTTACAATAAAAAAATGCATATAAAACCTTGCCTTCCTTTTGATATGCCTATGCTCTTCTTACTGCCCTTTAATAATTTCAAGCTATACTTATACCAATATAAAACAATAGACCGATAATCCTTTTTTGTTTTGTATCGACTGGGTGTAACACCCCTTCGGATCTCCAGCTCCTCGGGGACGCAGGAGCTAGGAGTAGGAGTTTTACGACTAAAAGCCACTGGTCTTAGGCGCCCTTCCCCGAGGAGGACCCGGACCATGTTATTTCAGGTCCGCCCCAGATCGACGCCGACGCCTAGTAAGACCCTATCCCGGGGAAGACGCGGGCTGTCCCCCGCCTATCGGCCCAATCATTACATATTGCTGATCGATCGCATCAATCGCCTACCGCAGCAGTTAATCTGCCACCAGAGCTCCCCACTCTCTGGCCGCCTGCGGTCCTGCGCTCGGAATTAGTCCTCTCCCGATCCCATTCTACTAAAACTACTAAAATCAACTACTGAATACGTGTCTTTGCATTACACATTACATTACATCTAATAATTGTAAAGAGTTACGAGTTTTTTATTGTTCGTGTGATTGTTTTTAACAGAAGTAAGGGTGTGGAAAATCCAATAAAACCACCTTAGTTTATTACCAACTTTAGAAGTGATATTTCGAATCGCACCGGAATACCGGCTGAAAAAAAAATATTTTTTTATATTCGGTTTACGATGACGATCGAATCTATGATGAGACGACGAGTTTATGACGGAGTTCTGAGAAGACTAACAAACATGAAAAATACAGGCGATTTTAGAACCTTCTCTTTTTTGCATTAACAAAGCACCTAGACTAGGCAGAGAATTCACCATTTCCGAGGTTCATAACTTCCATCCTTTCAAAGTGATAACCCCGACGTGTTCCAGACACCAGACCTGAGAAATTACGCTATTCACGTGTGCATATTTTTCCAAACGATGGCTGGAAGATGATAATGATGATAGAATGACGTAAAAATAAATATCTCTCTTTGAAAATAGAACACCAAATATCTGCAAACTCGTGCGCCTTTGTATCCGACATTCAATAGCGTCAAACTCCATTTTGCAACAAATTAATGCCCACGTCCCTCCATCAACGCCATCTCCGTACATTATCAGGAAAGGAAACATCTAAGCCTTTTTCTTTGACTAAAGGGTCGTATAAAAATATCGCTACAACAAACCACTATAG